CGATATGTGATGTTTGTGGTGCGTCGCATAAAAAAAAAACCTCTAACATCCATTTGTACCTCTCAATGGTCTCATCATCCAACAAAGCACAACTAAAAATAGTTTTTTTTTGTGAATGATGATTACATCTAGAAAAAATTACGAACGACTAGTTCTATTTATTCTTCTTATAAGTGATGACAAAAACTAGTACATTGCGAAAACATTGAAAATATGACCTACTCCGCTCATGTACCCAAAATAAATGCTTCAACTTATCATCCTCCATAGTTTGGAACATGGAATAAAACATAGGATCACTATCAACCTTCCTGTAGCATATATCAACACAACATGCACATCCCCGTCTTTAATAATGTCACAATGTCTCTGACGAAAGTGATTGTACCAATCTCTCTTTGAAAAACCACTGACATGTTCACCCATTTGTGCTAAGAAACAACACATGACGCGACACGTTCTAAATGCAAACACATGTAATTATCCACCTAAGCTTTATCAGCCTCACTTAAAACGCGGTATTTGGGAATCAAATGGACATTTACAGTCTGGGTCAACACATGGTTATGAGCCTCTTCAACCGATGACACTTTCCACTTCGATGTAATGCATTCTAAGTGAAACCTAATCTTAGCTTGACAATTAGTGTGTGTGAGAGGTCTATGGGGGTGTTTAAACCTGCTTCTTAAAACCGTTTCTGCGCCTACATGGAGCAGGAGAAGATATTAGAGTGTTTGGGTGAAAGTGCAAAAGTACTTCTGGGTGCTCCAAATTAGGGGGCGTTTGGAATTGATTATGCTTCTGTTTCTTTTTTAAAGCAGAAGCAGAATCATAACCAATTTTCAGAAGTTAGTCCCCCCAGCTTCTAAAAAACTGGTTCTAGGAGTAAATTAGAGCACTAGAAGTACCTATGCACTTTCACACAAACACTCTAACTCCTGCTTCTGTTCCCTGAAGGAACAAATACAGTTTTAAGAATCAGATCAAAACACCCCATTATTCATACAAGCAGTCATTTAGAAGGTGGGAGAAACTAGCTTCTGAAAAATTGATTTTGATTCCGCTTCTGCTTTTAGAAAAGAAGCAAAAGCAAAATCAATCGCAAACACCCCATATACTCTCCTTTTCTGTCCACCCCATCAAGTGGGGTTTACTACGCAAACTCCTCCTATTGTATATTCGTATTAAAGCAAATGCCTGATAAAATTACCTTTATGAACTCAATAGTTGGATACCTTAGAGAATTGTAATGATATCTCATCATTCTAGCAAATGTTTCTCTGTGCTTACTGCCACCGACCAGCACCTGCAGCTGCTGGACCGCCGGCCACTGCCGAAAAATTTCCAGAATTTTTCTGGCATCCTGCCTGATTTATGCCGTCTTCCGCCATCTGTCGCCGCCACCAGCGGAATCCGCTGTTGCCGCTATTACCAAGCCGCCGCCACCACTGGACTACCCCGCTACCAACGAGCTGCATTGGTTGTGAAAGAAAAGTAGAGGGCAATCAGTTGGATTAATTAATTCAATTGGGGGAAAATGAAATGATTAATCATATTTAAGGAAAACCAAACATTGGACACTATTTTGAAAAAACCTGCGTTTTTGTTGTATTCAGTCAATTTTTTCTTTCACTTTTTACCCTACCTTATTGTGTGGCTACGAATAGAGCGAAGCAATACTTAACCCGGAGGTGAGCTCTAAGGTGCATTCATATTGTATAGTGTTTTGGTGCATTAGGCATGTGTCTAAATTTCATTGGATATATTTTCCACGTAAGCTATCTTATTATAAAATATAAAGAACCCGGATACTTGATTGTGGTCTCATTTGGACATTATACAATGGATCATGGACCGTACAATGTATCATGTAAAAATGGTGTAACCCGGATACCTATAACATAGCTCTTCCTCTTATGACAAAGGCTCGACAATGTTTTCATCTGAACTTGTTTCGTTATACCAAAATCACCTACAACTCCTACAAGGCTACAAGCATGAGAAGTAGAAAAACGTTTAAGAGATGAAGGGATTGAGATATTTCAACGGAAGAAGGCATGGCCGCACGGACTATGTTTTGCTAATAATTGATCCTTTATAGATCCATGTCAAGGTACTTTTTCTCAACATTCCATTGTAATCATATTAATGATTTTAGATTATTAGTGTTTAGTTTGAAGTACTAACAATAAAACAGTAGGGCTTAATGTGTTGCAAGAATTTAAAAATATTTTTCTTGGAGCCGACACATTGACCTGACATAGTGACACTATCGACTGAATTGGCTGTTATTGTTGTTAATAGTATTGTGGGTTAGTTGGGGGAAAGATTATGGTATGCACACAATATGTTTAACATAATGTGCAAATGAATGCTTGAAAAGGTCAAGAAGATTACGGAGTATTATGTATCAATGGATTACAGGAATACGTCTATTGAACATATAGTGGTGATTGTAACGTTTAATCCTAAAATTAAATCTCATTTAATCCTAATAAACTACTAAAGTAATTACAATTTCCTATTTTAGTAGTGAATGAGTTATATTTTAGGAAAAGAGTGCTTGACATGCTTTATTGTGAATAAGCATTAGACTTCTGGTACCCTATAACATGGTTCACACACAATCATCCTTCATATTCACTCCAGATTTTTTGCAGTTCAGGTATATGTATGTATGGATGACATTCTCGCATGCAAAATAATAGTTGAAGTTTAAGTCTCTAACCTATACAATAAAACAATGTGAATAATGCATGGTGTTAGTACCACGAAGGAGTGCCCATATTAAAAAAAAATTGGCGAAGCAATAATATACTTTTCTTCAGTTTTGGGTTAAAGATGTTTTGGGATTGGCAATAGGGACCTCTAGAATGTGGCTTCAAACTTCTTGGGATGCTTTGGGAGCAAGGATCTTTGAGTCTTCGTATGGCAGGGGATAGCAACTACACGACTTTTAGATTTAACTTTTCGTTGTCATTTGCGTTTTTTCCTTTTCATTAGCTTTCTTCCTTCATTAAAGTTCATACTCATTTCAAGTTTTAATAAATATATTTTGCTTAAAAAACAATGCGAATAATATAAGTGTATCTTGTTTATTGGTGATGTTATTAGGGCTCTAGTATTCTTTCATCTTTTGACAGATCCATCCCGTGGTTGTTGCCTATTTATGCTAGTTGTCGACCCTGTTCAGTAAATAAGCAAGTACTAACCTCTATTCCTTGGCCCTGTTCAGTAAATAAGCAAGTACTAACCTCTATTCCTTGTAAAAATTTGACTTTTATACTTTCCAACAATTAATTGATAGGTGATCTATTCTATTATCTTTTCATAGATATTATAAAAAGTCGATTTTCTGAAAACATAAGGGCAGCCCGGTGCACATCGGCGTCCCCTCAACGCGAGGTTCTGGGGAAAAGTCCCACCACAAGGGGTATATAAGGAGCAACCATTCCCTTGTCCTTTTGACAAGAGGCCACTCCCAAGATTTAAACCCATGACCTCTCAGTCACACAACAACATCGTAACCTGTGCGCCAAGGCTCCCCTTCATTTCCTGAAAACATAAATAGGAAAAATATTAACTTCTTTACAAAGTACTCCTTTAGGATTTCTTTTATACATTAGTAATTTGTCTGGTCATATTTGAATATCTGAGTAATGCAATATGTTAAGGTGTTGCAATTTAAAAAGCATGTAGAAAGTATTTCTTAATTATATGAGGCTAACCATCATAGAGAAAAGCTAAATTTTAATTGATCTGGTAGAGCATTATTAAGTATGAGCGATGATTTTTAGTTTTTATTGTTGGACACAAACGTAATAACTGGTATTTAGGTGGTAATATAAGGAGATGATCACCCCACATAAAATTAAAACATACTCCCTCAAAACTTAGTCATGTTTAACTTTTTTTGTTAAACTTTGATCAATGGTATATTTATATGAAATTATTTATAACATGAAAATAATATGCAAATGTTAATCAAAATATATTAATCAAAATCATCACCAGAATTTTAATGGATGGCAGGATGGGGGAGTATCAAGTTTCCTTAGATTTAAGCACATTGTTTCTATTTAAAAAAAGAATAGTCATTCTGTATTGTTCAAAGGATGATAATTAATTACTACTCGTATTAATGGAAAATGTGATCCTTATTAGTTTATGATGCATCCTCCTTCCACACATACTTCATTTTCTCCAATACTCCATCTCCATTCTTCATGACTTCTGCTAAATTCACACTGCACTGACCCAGTGACCCACACAGAATTGAAACCAACAACTGCCTTCTTCAGCCTTCTCCATGATATGGGAGACGGCGACCTTACTTCATTGGTCTTCTACAGGGAAGGCAATGACGGCGACCTTCTGATGCCTCCCATCCTTTTTCGTTATCCTTAGTCTCTGTTTCATCATTGACTTCACATTTTCTCCTTAATCTCTTTTTTCCATCTTCTGTGATTGTCTTTCTGGTCTTCCCTGACACTGATGATGTTAAATTTGTGTTTCTGTTAGAGGGTAGTGAATCAGTGAGGCAGGTTTTCATTGCTCTGGCATTGAGGAATGCTTTGTTGTTTGCTGATTTGAAGAGAAGGTATGTGCAGTGAGTGAGCCAATGTGGTGGGCCTTGAGGCGCAATGAAATGAACACTGAACAGAATAACTCATCATGACGGCAGAAATGTCCTTTTGCCCAGTGAAGATGGCAGTGAGTAGTGTATGTAAAGCAATGTGCATGAGTAGTCGAGATGTGTAGTGAAGATGACAGTGGAGGCAATGAGAAGTGGGTTGGAGGCGCGAGCAGTGAGCGGTGAATCGGTGATGATGGACTATTGGTAGGATACGAGTAGTGATAACAACATTGGGCAAGCCAATGACTTTAGTTTTAGTTTGTTGATAATAGGACAGATATTTTGGTCTCATGATTTAAGTTTAGTTGTCCCAAGTTTAATAGTCATATTTAGGGAAATATAGATGTTTTAGTCATAGGCCGATAAATTTACCAGAAATATATAACAAGCTAGCATTGAATGGGAACTAACATACATTGACTCGCAATCATCTCACACAAGTGCATTCCATAATCAAAATATATAACAAAGGAAGTTCTCGATGAAAGCAGAAACAAAATGAAGAAACTGACAGTAGCACAGGGACCTACAATCACCTACAAGACTACTCAGATACGGCGGCCCTCATTGGCCAACTTGAACAGCTTGGCCTGAGCTGCGGCGGCCTTGTCAGAACTGAGAGCAGCGCCAAAACTGTCCTTCACCTGCTTGGTTGTGTAAGGAAACCTCTTGGTAACCATGGAGTTGAGCAAAGCAGCAGTGCCTTCCCTATAGAGTTCCCCAAGCCCGTCGTTCCGGGTGTTGGAAAGTGCTTGCATCAAGTTCATGTTTGATGCCACTCCGCCCGGAACTCCCGCCACACCAAACACGCCGCCCACAGTTCCCCAGAACCCAACTAGTCCCCATATCAACCCGGGATGATTCCTCCAGTAACTGCAAGTTAGTTAGTCATAAATAGAATTAGCATCATCAGATCATCACATGCATGCTTATTAACTTACATGTGTAATTAACAGTAGGGTCTGGATAAGTCCTATTTTCGGATTAAAACATGTTTAGTAGTATTTTGTGAAAAAAAAGTTGTTAATAGGGCTAAACAAGCCCTATTAAATGTGAGAATAAACATTCTTAGCCCCCCTTTTTACTTTTATCCTACTTGCCAATTAACTACTTACTCGCAGGTAAAAGGTGGTGAATTTGGGTCAAATGCAAAGGGCGGTGTGCTTGGCTGCAAACCAAACGGTGGAGATGACACAATTGGAGTTGGTGGGGTATCTATTGTGGGTGTATCTGGGGTTGGGGTGTAGCTTGGAGTGGAGGGTGAGTCTGGGGTTGGAGTGTAGCTTGGTGTGGAGGGTGTGGTTGGGGTTGGGTCAATGGATGGTGAAGTTGGAGGGCTATTATAGTAACCACCACTTTGACCACTGCTGCCACTGCCACTAGGAGGAGAATCTGGGGTCGGAGTATAGCTAGGAGTACTGGAGGGTGGGTCTGGGGTTGGAGTATAGCTAGGAGTGGAGGGCGTGTCTGGTGTTGGAGTATAGCTAGGAGTGGAGGGCGTGTCTGGGGTTGGAGTATAGGTAGGAGGGGAAGGTGTGGTTGGAGTTGGATCAATGGATGGTGAAGTTGGAGGGCTATTGTGGTAACCATCACTGCCACTCCCACCGGAAGGAGGAGATTTTGGGATTGACTCTCCACTCCCACGGGAAGGAGGAGATTTGGGGGTTGATGGATTATGGTGATGATTATGGTGATGACCTCCACTAGGTGTGTTACGACACTTTGATGGTGTGTTTTTACCCCCTTGGCTACCACCTCCACCATGTGAAGGTGTTCCATGAGATGGTGCTCCTCCACCATGTGAAGGTGTTCCATGAGAGGGTGCTCCTCCACCGTGTGAAGGTGTTCCTTGAGATGGTGTTCCTCCTCCTTGGTGACCTCCTGAACCATACGATGGTGGGCTGGGGTTGTTTTTACCTGCATCTGCATGTCACACACATACATGCATGCAACTATTTAGATTGAAATGGAAATATAATAATATATAGAGAAAATCGCTTTAATAGAATTAAAATATACTCCCTCCCTTCGTCCCTTGAAAAACTTCTCACTTTCTTTTTTAGATACCCAAATAAAGTTTTCTACTAGCCTTCAGTAACAATGAGTGCACTCTAACAAATAGTGTCAAACATGGTCAAACAGTGTCAACACCGTGTCTTCTACGGTCTAATAATAAAATTATCCAAGTCAAAATGGCATTTCAGGAAATCCAAGGTAAAAAATTTATTTCCTAAAAAATGTGTGCTATTCAAAGTGGAAAGTTTAAATAGGGGCGCAGGTAATGAAACATTTCTTCAATCCCCCCCCCCCCCCCTAAGAGAGCACATTATTGCCTCCTATACGAAAGTTGTTTTTTTACTATTTTATTAAGACTGAATGAGTTATATTCATATCTAGTATAAACATGAACATGAATATGTCTTAAATATACTATGTATAAGTATAATATACTGTGCATAGTACATACAGATTTACATATATTTGATATATATTTACTCAAACACACGAAAGCGCACACATATTATACTGTGCATAATATATGCTTCTTATCATCAATTCATAGCTTGTACATTGCGATGTTCTACTGGTTTAAATAGCTAACTAGGGAAGATGGTGGAACAGACCTTTGGGTGGAGTGGGAGAATAATAGTGCTTTTGGTCATTGAGAGTAGAAGACGCCATGGCAACGACGACAGGAATGACCAGATTCTGAGAGAGCAAAGCAGCCATTGTTGTAGCTGCCCACATGAAGAGAGGACTATGTCCACTTCTTCTTTCCATTCTCATCTTTAATCAGATCAACTAACCAAAACAAGAAGTTTAGGAGTTGATGATGATGGGAGAGGTACACAAAAAGGGTATATATATAAGGTGTGTGTATTAGTGTATACAAAGAATGATGACCAGACACTGCAGTAAATACAAGCAGGTGAGGGAGTGTGGTGGTTAGTTGCATGTGGTGCATGCGCATTTATGACCATCTCATTTAACTAATTACTTTAACCTCACATTGCAAAAAGTGGAAATAGAGCATTCACCCAGCCACCATGCATAACCCTGTTGGCTGTTGCTGAAGGCACCAGACATGTTTAATCAAGATATTGGACCATTCTTTCATGTTATGGTTGTTGTATCTAACAATCCCATAATAATGAATTAACATTATAAATTTACCTTATGTGTTTTCTTGTCAGGTTTGGTAGTGCTGGTCTTATTATTAACATTGGTAGCATATAACCAGAGGTGCCCATTTTAGGATTCGATCTCTCTCTATATATGTGTAAATTTAGCAAGGAGTAGCATATAGGCATATAGCTAGCAAGGAGTAAATTTAATTATATATCGGAGAAGTGTGCTCATTCAGTGAAGAACTTATGCTTGTGTTTGATTTTACTCTTGACTTATACACTTGTGTATCATTTGCATATTAAATACTCGTAATCTTTTAGTAGAACAGTACAATGTACCCCATCATCCGAAAATATCCATCTCATCCGCATTAGAAAAGGCTTGACATGGAATATTTTGGTAGGTATAGTATTCCGGTGCACAAATGTTTTATGATGCATTTATTTGGATTAATTTTTTTTAGATTGGTCTGATGATCTTTTTCAACTATGATCCTTTATTATTTAAATCTGATATGGAATTGAAACTAGTTTTTTCTGAAAAACATCCTTTATTATTTAAACATGAGAGAAGGCATGCTTTATTATTTAAATTTTAAAGACCGCTCGTAAGTCGTAAGTAAAGTTGTGTATACGGTAAACGCCGTCAACTTTAGCGTGTTAAACTATAAAATTCAACCAAAACTGAATTGTGCTTATACAAAATTGTCTTATGCTAACTTTGGTTAGGATAATAAATAATCACTCCATCCCAAAATATGAGTTGATTTTTCTTTGACAATGATGATCAAGTTTGAGAAACTTATTATTAATACAAATTTATTTAAAATATGAAAATTATACGAGTGATTTTTTTGGTAAAAGTATTTTAATAAAAGTATAAAAGTCATGAATTTAGCACAACAAAAGTCCTTGATCAAGAAAAGGTAAAATGTATACATATAAATCTATAATAAACAAACATTTTATTGATATGTACTCCCTCTATCCCTTATTCCCTTATAGATTTGGCCTAATAAAATTTATGTACTGTACCTTCATTCTAAATTGATTTGCAAAATTGATTTTTCTTGGTTAAACATTTTCATTTTAATTGAATTAATTTCATTTTTGATCCTATGAGTTTTGTGTCAATTTCACCTTTATTCCACGTCTTTCACTTTATCCACTTTTGGTATTTGACTAATGTTTTTAATCGTTTGTGGGGTTTTTCGGCAATTTTAACCATCAGAAACAATGCTGGAAGGACCATATGTGGGTGAAAATACAATAGTCATGTATCAAAAGTGCACAAAGTGTAAGATGTGGATTAAATGTGGAATTGACCTAAAACTCGTAGGACAAAAAGTGAAATTTATTCCATTTTAATTATATTCTAATTTAGATTTTACAACTTTGAAAATTTTTTAATGTAGTTTCTGAATATGTAAATTTTAACAATTATTAAAAATTGAATTAATTATCAATAGAGGGGGAATTTAACTTTAACATTGTTTGATCAAAAAATATTGATTTTGCAAATCAATTTGGTACGAAGGGAATATAACACAACGTCAAAATTGATAGCTTAAAATTAAAATATACTTGTGTCCCCCCCAATAGTCCAAAGTTCCATTAGATGATAAAGTTGGCTCCAACTCCCCAACCCAATTCAAAAGTAATTATTTATAGTAAATCTTAAAATTATTAAATTCTATTTGATTGTTCCCTCTAGTTATTAAATTATGTTTGATTGTTCCCTCTAAAGTAATTATTATTAATGTTATATGAGTGGTATGTACACTTTAGCAGGACAGCTGGTGTTTATTAGATTATCTAAAATGTAATAAAATGAAAAGTAACTGAAGTTAATTAACTGAAACGAATTTGACGTTAGTTTGTTACTACATTGTTTGGTTTGGCTGCATTTGGAAAAAATGCTAATAATATGATTAAAAAATGGTCCAAAGACCGAAGAAGCAGACACTTGTAAGTTGTAAGCCTGAGGATAAATGCATGCCGTGAAGAAAAACGTGCAGAGTAAATGGGTGTGGCAGAGGGGTTGGTGAAGATGCAACAAATCGATTACAGCTCTCATTCAATGGTTGTCTGCATGTAGTAAATTCGACTCCCACGCTCTAAGCAACACTTTAACTCAGCTCTAACTACACATTAACTTAAATTAGACAGTGTTTGCAAAAACAAATAATAAAAAAAAGAAATGTGTTTTTTCAACTTATGGCTTAAAAAACTGAAATGAGTGTTTGCAATTAACAAATTATTTAAAAAAATGAAATGCGTTATATATATATATTGGCGCAATATTTTTCAATAATTTATTTATGGACACAATCTACACCGAAGAGCAGGCTCACAAAATTGGGTTAATTATCAAAATAGGACTAAAAGTCACTCACTTTGCACAAATAGGACCGAAAAATAAACTATGTTTTCGTAGGACTAATTATGTGTGTCTTGGACAAATATACCCTTATAGCTATTGAAATTTTTAATTCATAATAAAATAATATAAAATAATAAAAAATTCGTAAAAATACTAAAAAAGTTAATAAAAATATTTCGATAATAATAATTTATTTATTTATTTATTTTCGAAAATAAAAAAATAAAAAAAAAATAAAAAAATAAAAAACTCAAAAAAATAAAATAAAATTCACCGCCGCCTCTGCACCACCACCTCCAGTCATCAGGGGAAAAAAATGCCAAGTTCATTACGAATGCCATATTTATGGCAGAAAAGAATGAAAATGTTGGCATTCTCAAAGAGAAATATGCCATGTTTTTTGCATTTTCAGGAAAAATGGTTGTTTTTAGGAAAAATTGCATTTTTTCACCGCCAGAAGATGGTGGTGCAGGGAGGTAGTACAGGCGGTGGGAAAGGTATTCATATATTTTTTTAATTTTTTATGGAGTTTTACTATTTTTTTTTTATTTTTTTAAAATAATTTTTTTATTGTTTTATTTTATAAAATTTTTAATTATTTTTCTACGAATGTTTGAATTTTTTTCGAATTTATTATGAATTAAACATTTAATTAACTCATATTTGAAGGAATGGTAAGAATGAAATGAAAAAATAGGTATGTTTCCAATATGACTAATATGGTCCTGTTTTGAAAAGAAAACAAAGTAAGTCATATTTTGAGTTTTTGCCATAGTTTTAATCCTATTTGGAGTAATTTCTACCAAAATTTTATCAAAGAATTCCACTCGGAACTACCTAAATGGGGTGAGAAAATTCTAACCGTAATTTCTAACCGGAAGATTACTATATATGCACACATTTTCGGAGTTAAGTGACTTTTTTACCAATGTCGATAAGAGAGTGTTTGCAAGGGTTTAAAGAAGCACTTTTGTGCTTTTTTGGATGGGAAAAGATAGGGGTGGGCCCGATCCGGAACGGTAAATTGATAAAACCCGTAATGTATCCGTGAGGTTTTTAACGGTCCGGTACGGTCCGATTCCAAGGATAGAACCGTTCGGTACCATGTCGTTTCGGAATGGTACAAAATGGTACGGTACAATGCCAAACACATGCTAATTTTTTTGAACAAATCTTGCAATTAGTAGATATAATCACACCAACAAACTCACATGAAATGTAGAAATAAATACAAGAAATTACATACATAGTACTAAAATTCACAAATACACAAATAGTGCAACACAACTAAGAAAAAGTATAGCAAAACGATGATGCACGAGATAAATATCATTTTTAATTTACTAAGTTCATGTGAAAATATAAAAACAAATATCATGAAATTGTTGAATATAATAGAAATCTTCAACATTATTCTTCTTCGTTCTAGGTTAAATATTACTCCGTAGTTCTAATTTAATTTATAGTTGAATCTTGAGAGCTAAGATTTAAACCATATTAATTTGTAAAAAATGCACAAACATGATACAACAAAAAGTCATGTACACTACATTACTAGAAATAAATAATCATTAATGATTTCTAAAATTTTAATATTCTTTCAATACATACCAAAATATAACATAAATTATCTAAAAAGAAAAACTAACAATATATATATAAAACACATTTTAGATATCTTAGGGACACATGAATACATACTTGGGGTATAAAATTGTTGGTCTAGATCTATTGATATAGAAAGAATATAAAAAAATTCAAATGCATTATTTACGAACGGTTCGGTCCAGTATTTTTCGGTTCTTAAAATCTAGGACCGGTCCCGTACCCGTTTCAAACGGTACGGTTTCGGTACGGGATAAAAATCTATAGAACCGTTTAGATACCCGGTATTCGGTTCGATACCATTACGGGACGGTTCGGTACCGATTCGGTTCGGGTTTTATGCTCACCCCTAGGAAAAGCTAAAATTAATGTTTTCAAACACTAAAATTCACTCATTTACAAGTACTCCCTCCGTATTTTAAAGTTTGCTATATTTTCTTTTTTGGGTGTATTTAAAAATTTGCTACACTTTTCAAATTTGATAAGCTTTTCCTTAAAAATACTCGATTACATTTACTTTATCTACTTTTTATTTTCTCTTTCATATTTTGACATATTATCTCTAACGTTTTCTACACTATTTATTACCCTATTACTTTCTTCCTTAAATAACACGGCAAAGCTAATGTAGCAATCTTTAAAATATGAAGAGCGTAGCTATAATTGAAAAGTTAAAACCATGAAAA